TATATATATATATATTGTGTGTATTCATACAAGGCATATAATCATGATCATATCAAAGTATAATATCAAGCATATGTAATAAAGATCATGTAGTGTATAAATTGTCATCGAGTTTAGAAAATCAAGAGAAGCTCCCCCTAAGATGAAGCCTCAAAGTCAAGAGGAAATACTCATCTTTTGCTTACTTACTATCTCTTTTGGTCCCAACAAAAACTAGTCCAAGGATGAATCATTATCATTTGAGCTAAGGTCATACTAGAACTTGTTGAGCAACTTGTGATAAAGGCAATCAGAGCATCATTGCTAACAAATGGACTTGTTCAAGGCTACGACAATAGTTAGTAACCATGTCTTCATTTATGAGATAATGTTATGGACTTGAGGGTCTATACAAGAGGTTGAGGTTTGCACTAGAACATCTTGAACATGAGAAAGAGGGAGAGAGAAGCAAGACAAACATATGTATACATAAAGCAAATACTAATAGGTAATGTAAAACAATGAATAGAAATATTGATGGTTGAGCTGTAGGTATAGCCAAATCAGCCAATAATTCGGTAATATGCACCGGAATTCAGAAAAAGACAAACCCTTCAACAGACAAACATACAGACACATATACAACTCTAAACACATCTTGAGAAAAAAGTGTTTATACATACATAAGAAGGGTAAAATACATATATGTACTATAAAAGAAACATTACATAACCTGAGAAATTATTAATAAATTATATGAAAGCTAAAAATGACAATAAGAAAGAAAGCCAAAGAACTGAAAATTAACAAAGATCATGATATGAAAACATGGAATTGGTAAAATTAAGCAGAGAATCAAATTCATGAAACAGAGTTAAAGTAAAGAACAAGTGAGAGATAAACATGCAATCATTTCAAAGCCAAAAGAAACAATCAAAAAGAGAGTCAAAGAACCGAAAAATTTAAAAAGAACATGAAATGAGAACACGGATTTGACGAAATTAATCAAAGAAATAAAAATGTGAAACACATGCAAGAAAATAATGTTAGAAGAAAGAAAAAGCTAAGACCTCAGCGGGAAACCCGTTCATGCAAAGCATGACCCATGGCCGCAAAACCCTAAAATCAGACATGACCTGATAATGTGAAGGAAATGAAAACTTTAAAGGGGAAAAAGTGTGTAGCTAGCAGTTTAGGAAAAATCTAAACTTCGCTATCTTTTTAATGAAGAGTAAATGCGGAATATTTCTTATTAATATTTTTCATATTTTAAGTCGATAATATTTGTTAATTCTTTTCTCTTTTAATTGTTTTTGTGGATAATATATTTTTTCTATATCTTCAAATATTTTAGGGATGTTAAGTAATGCATAATATTTTATCTCCTAATTTCATTAGATTTTTATTAGTCAATTTAATTCATATTTTATTATATATAAAATAGTTGTAATTAAAAATAAAAATATTATTAAATGATTGACATTTAAGATAATTACTTAAACTCTAAATTAATTAAAAAACTATTTGTAAAATGATAAATGATAAATATAATTATAATGAAATTAATTTTAATCGAGACAAAATTAAATTTTTAAGATAAATTTTAAAACAAGATAAATTCTTAAGATTTATTAGGATAAAATTAACGTTTACGTGCCTATTTATAAAAAAAAAATAACATTTAGGATAAGTGAATACTTTTTTTTCCTAATTTTATTATTTAGTAGTTGTAATTTTTCTTGGCTAATATTTTTTAATATTCCAATTCTTTTTCTATTTTATTATAGGTAAAATATGTAATTTTATTTTTTTCAATTTTAAAACCGGTATATCGAGAAAGATTATAAATTTTCATAGTCGTAATTATAATTCCATTTCACAATTCACATCATTACCGAACACCGAGCACAAAAAGAAAATGACAAAATAAAATGGAACAAAAAGGATTCCAAGAGAGATCAAAATGTTGGAAAATGAACATTCATCCCATTCCCCGGTCCCCCTTACAATGGTCAGAAATTATTACTTGTATTCTTCTGATAAACTAAGATTCACGGATCGTGATTCGTAAAGGATGTGAGAACACAAAGCTATAAAAATTGCAAGGTCCATAAATCCTTTGAAGCATAGCACATACATGATAATAATAATAATAATACAAAATAATATAATTAAAAGAAATGCGTCTGTTATCAGAGATGGAGGACGAAGATTATGAATCGGAATGGGAAGAATGGCGGTGATGCCTACGGGATTGCAAATATACATTCGCACTCGTATATTTATTCTTAATCGGAAGATTGGGATTAAGATCAAGAATGCGGAAAGCACAACGAATAAAAGTAAAGTACCATGAATCATGTTCGAGACGGCGAGCTCGACGGCCTTTCGGAGTTTGGTAATCGGCGTCACGGAGTTCGGAGCCGTCATGCTATGCTACTGCTATCGCCATCGTCAACCAATTCGCGTTTCACTGCTATCATGATGCAGTGAGGGCTTGCAACGGAGCGAGGAAACAGTGAACACGACTGATTCTGAGGGCGTTACGAAAAGTGGAATGCGTAAAGAAGAAAGAGAGAGTAAAACGAACCGCGAGCAGGAGCACGAGAAGCGCCAGGACTCCAAAAGACTTCTGACTCTCTGAGGCACGTTTTCGTGCGGCTTTGAGTTTTAATTTTTAAATACTCCATTTTCTATTTCTATTTATTCTTTAACACGTGTGAGGAAGGTTTGCTTTTTTGTTTAAATTTTTTTACTTCCATCGGAAGGATTTAAAAGAGGGACCAAGTCACAAAGTGACTTTAATGATCACTTTAATTAGAGGGACCAATTCACAAACTAATATTATCTAACTTATATATATATAATTTAATTATCTAATTTAATTATCTAATTTACCCTTTTTAATAATCACTTTAATCTTTATTTTTTTTTATTATTATATTTTTTTATTTTAAAAAATTTTAAAAAATATTTTTTAATCAAATTTAAGAACTAAAAATTAATAAATCTATATTAATATATATAAAAAATATCACTTTTAATAACTATTTTTAATTTTTATTTTTATATAAACTATATTATCTTTTATTTATTTTTCACTAACTACTTTTTTTATAAGTAAATTTTTTTTAATACAATAAAGACACAAAATAAAGGCACGAAATGTCTTTTTTTTCTAATAAAATAACGTCAATTAGTATCGGAGTCCAATTTTTTTACATTATTAGCATCGTGAATATATTTCTTACTTTGCTCCCAGATAATGATTAATTTATTTTTTAAATATTTCTTTATTCTTTATTTAACCCCCAAAAGATAGCCTTTGTCTTTCCATCGGCCACAACAAGTTAGAAACCTGAAAAATTAAAAGAGATCTTCCTTCATCTTGATCGGCGCAACAAATCGTGGTGGTTGCATAGAATCATAGTTTTTTTTTTTTTTTTGACAGTAATCATAGTGGTTGTTGTTCTTTGTTCCTACCGTCTTAAAATAGACAACTATAAATCTATAATAAACCGTAAAATAAGAATGACCTTAACTTGAAGTGTACTGCATTAATTAGAAGTTGGAGGGAGGCATCAAAATTAGAATCCCAGCTTCTTCACCGTGTGACATGCTAGAAGCAGTCCGACAAAAGCTACGGTTTGTACTACGCAAACAGCAGTTAAGCACAAGTGTGGAACAGAGATCACGACTTCTTTTAAAGTCACAAATTTGTGTAAAAACATAATCTTATACAATGCAAGACTGCAAGAGCAAAGATTCAGCATGAAGTGGCTAAGTGACACCAGAAACACCCATATTTATAGTTCCCTGTTAAGGGAGAGGCCAGGTTGAGAACGTTTGAGGCTCTTCATATGCCTCTCCGTTGACTCACGAGGCTTCAATTTTGAATGTATTTTCCCTGAAGAAAAAAATTATAGCTAATAATTCCAGCCCCATTTTGGACCTTCCAGCTTGAAAATATGAATGATACTAACAGGAATTAAACCTTCACAACCTTCTAGGTGGTTGCATTGAGACGAGAAACATAAAAACCTCTTATTGTCCCTCTTCATATACAGAGAAAAGTCTTGAAAACAACCTTCACCAAGTGCACGCTTGAGAGCATGGAGAAAACATTAAGTACTAAAAACCCGCATCATTTTCCATCTGCTTTGTTAACCAGCAATGAACATTATCATTCCTACATCAGCATTAATGGCCAGCAAATCGCAAAGAACCTCATGATTTGTGGTAACTGGGAAGCATTCTCGGGCCATCGCCATATTATACAAGCTAAATCAAGCCATTATAGTGAGGCATGGATAAAATGCAGTACCATGTGTTATCCATTGCCGCTTTCCTCCATGTGGCACCACACAGCTAGGAACCTTCACCCATTCCCTACTTGCTATGTTGTAGGTAACCAATCGATTCATTTGTCTTGATCTCAAGGATAGCATGAGCAAGCCTTTGTTTCCCAAGCAAGTCATTCTAACGTGCTTCCCATAAAAGTCCAAGCACCATACGTTTGGCATTCTGTCAACCTCCTTCCACAAGAAAGTCATCTTCTGCAGCTCCCATATGCATATGCATGTGGCTGCATTCTTCGTGAGCAACCCCACAAGCAATATCCGGCCATCACACTCAGCCAGTGTGCGGTCAGTCAGATCCGATGGTGCGGGGATTATGTACTGTGTCCAAACCCCAGTTGCCATGTCATAGGATACAATCCCTTCGGGATCTGAATGCATGAAGTACAGGGTGCTATCGATAGAAATGGCTTGTGACCTAAAATAGAGTGACAGAGGCAGCTTGATATCTGCAGGCATGTTTCCTGGATGGCTCCAAGACTTTGTTACTGAATCATAAATTTGATATTCTGCATCACAACCCACCAATAGGATCTTGTAGCCAGTACCAGTTGAGTTTCCATTTACTGTCATCCCTACAGCAGCACGAGACCAGAGCCTAACTGACTGAGTTGGTAATTCCTTTAATGATTGAGTCAAAGGGTTACAAACATATAAATTTTGATGATAAATGTCAAGAAAGCAAACTAGACCCCCTGCAGAAGCCACTGGTAGAAGTAGAACCATCAACTTCGCAGGCAGTGTTGATATAGTGGGATGGTACCATTTCTTCATAGAAGGGTCATACATGGATCCCGAATTTGCATGTTCATGACTTATGTAAAACCATGGGTTTGCTCGTGGGACTTGAGCACAATGCTGAGAAAAACTTTGAGAAGTCAGCAAGGAATTCCATCGTTGGCATACAGAGCGGAAGCGGAAAAATGTGGCAAAGGGAAGACGTGCAATCACAGGCTCAAATAGATCCTCAGGCAAATCTTTCCAAATTTGTTGTTCCATAGCTTCATCCCTGGAGGACCTTCCAGATGATTTTCCCCTGCTCCTATCTCTTCGAAACTTCTTAGATGGATGCTTTAGAGGTTCCGCCATCCTGAAACTTCCAGACTTTCCAGCTGCCATTACAAGGCTGTAGAAGTCATCTACGGAGTAATCATCAATGTCAAAGAAGGACCGTCTGTGAAAAGGATGATCACAGATATTCATAAACTTTATTCCATTTAGTAGAACAAAGATGCAGAGGAAGACCAGCATGATACATAGGAAAAAGCTTAAAATCAGACCCAAAACCAATGCACAAATTGATATTCTACTCCAAATTAAGACTGACCTACTGCATATTTCAAGGATCAAGAAGATATCTTTTAATATCAATTTAAACACAAGAGATTCAAGGTGCTAAAGCAAAAGCTTTTCCTTGGTATAACACTGACAATGAAACAATAACATAATCCAGACAATATGTTGTTTATCCAATAATGACAATCACTCGGTTAAAACAGACACTTGAAGCATAGATGTTCAAATATGAATCTAGGTGAAGAGATGGTAAAAACAAACAATTAGGGTATGTTTGAGAGAGAAGGTAAGGCTTATTTTTAATATTTAAAAATTAAGATATTTATATAAAATTTATAAAAATAAAAAATAGAATAAAATAAAATAATAAAAATAAATAAATAAATAAAAATAGAAGTTTAGAACATTAACTTTACGCTAATTTGTTATTTTTTTATTTATTTTCAAAAAACTATCAAATTAAAGACTATTCATTAGAAATGAAAATTTTGCCTCCCTTTCCTTAACCTACCAAACATACCCTTATAGATTAAGGATTCTGAGCAACCAATAGTGAACAATAAATAGGCATGTTAGACTCTGATCTTTGAAACGATTGCTTACAGCCAAGTTTGATGCAAGTTCACTAAGCCATTCATCCTATCACTTGTCACGCATAAGAAATTGTATTTTATACACATTGAGAACCAAAGTGATCCATCCCTTCTAACAATCCTCCTTCAGAAAGCCTACAATCAAGCATTATCAATATTCTACACTCTGATTAACATACAAGAATACACATCCGGACAGCTTCGAGAGTGGACCTAGTGATGAACTCAAACTTGCCTCTGCTGTTAAAGCAAGGAAATTGCCTCTAACCGCAATAGAATATGGTTCTTACTTGTGTGTCTCAGCATGTTTCTAAATTATCGTTTTTTTCAATCTGTGTCCGAATCAAGTCCACCTCTTTCCTTTTCACTTAAGCAAGAATTTGCTGTAAACATGCTCAAACTACTATGATAACAATGAGACTCCCAAGTTGATACCAACAAAACACAAGGAACAATGACAAGATTAAGAACCATCAAATTGCAGCAGTTAATTTTCTCTATTACAATTTAAAAGAGCAAAAACAAGCACACGGGCAAGCAAGGGCCAAGTCATCTGTCTTCATAAGTTTCACAATTTAATGTAGCAACAAACAGACACAAAACAAGAGAAGCAACAGAAAATCTAAATATCTATCTAGGTTATGGTATCGGTGAGCATATTGTTAATGAGTGCACACTCCATAGCAGAAAGAAAGAAAGAAAGTAACGAAGTGGGTTTAAAAAAAGGATCAACCTTGTTATGGTTTATGAAGGGAGGAGGTTGAGAAAAAGCATAAAAGTAAAGTGTGGAGGAAAAAGAGAAGAAATTGGAAAAAAGGGTAAGTAGATCTAGGAGAAAGGAGGAGACCTGGGTAGTGAAGGGGTGAAAGACGGAGAGAGAGAGTGAGTGATGAGCATGGCAAGCCCTTCTTCTTCTTCTTCCATGGCCCCCAACTCGATTGTGTAAAAACCTCTCTCTCTCTCTCTCTCCTTGTTACCCGCTCTTCATTTTCCACGTTGCTTTCCACACAACGGAGTTTTACTCACGGCTTAAATATCTTTTTCTCCTTCAAATTAATTTTATTTTTACTCTTTTAAATTCTAAATTAATTTTTTTATCTTATAATTTCAAAAAATATATTTTAATTTTTATATATAAATTTTGTTAATTAAGTATAATTAATATTGTATAATTATATCAAAATATTACTTTCAAATATATTATTGATAATTTAAAAAACTAAAATAATTTTTAAAATTACATAAATTAAAAATAACAATTTTAAATTTTAAGAATTAAAATTAAATTTAATATAAATTTAAAAAATTAAAAGTATATTTAAATATTCATTTCACCCACTCGTTCGCTACTTTAATTAACTTCAATTTGGTCTACAATTTCATTGGTAAAACAAAGTGAGTTTAATATAGCACAATGATCATAAGTGCATAATAATTTTTATTTTATAAATAATTTTATAAAATTAAATTACATTCATAATTCTTTCTTTTATAAATATTAAATTGTATTATCAATTGAATATTATCAATTATACATCAACCTGATTAAGTATTATAATCCGGCCTAACCAAACATAATTAAAGATAACAAGGACACTACAAATACAAATGAAATGGTAGGAAGGTGGTAATCGAATTTTTGTAGTAACAGTTAAATCTTAAATAAAAGAAAAAATTCAATTTTCCTTTGTATTTATGTTACTTTTCGGCGGTGAGCTCAAGGTTTCTATGTTATTTTCTTAGATTACAAATCAATTTTATAAGATCGAGTTTATTGGTAAAAACAAGATGTAGATATATTTTGAAGCACTTTATTAAAACGGTGGCAGAGCATAAAAGTTATTGGCATGGTAATTTGAAGTTTTTTTACACTGCAAGGAGGGAGTGAGAATGTGGTAGAAAGAGTGGTGATGCATTCCAGTGTTGCACGCACGCACGCAGAGGGGATGATTGATTAGTCTGAATGTGAATGATGATTTTGTTAGGTTTACGGAAAAGGCCACTCAAAACTAATCGATGCCATTTTCCACTCACACTCACTCATTCCTCATAAGTGCCATGCAATGAGTGACATTGTGGCAAGGAGTTGTTGTAATTATGCTTCCCCACCTTTCACTCATTTCTTTAATATCTATTCATATCCCACTTTTATTTTACAACATAACACAATCCTATTATCAATCTCCTCTCTTCTATCTCTATGGGGAAAGGATTCAGTAATTTCTATGCTGTCAAAAATATGGTTTATTACTTTTCTTGTTTCATAACATTTCATATTAACTTGACCATCAAATCATAAATAAAAGTGACAAAGTTGAATTGAATTTTTGGCTCAGTCACGTGTATTTATTAACTGCAAACTCCCAAAGCACGACATGTGGATTGTGACATGTTAGGGTAGGGGGTAGGACGCGTAAGGTAGGTTGACACATCAACATCAAGTTAATTTTTTTTCCCTTGTTTTTTAAGTTTTCCAGAAATTTCCATATAAACTTAATTCTCGTCATGTTTCAATTTTTACTCTAATTTACGTCATATATTTTGTTCCATTTATTATTTAAAAATGTATTTTTTTTATATATTTATTTGTTATTACCATTTCTTTTATTATCTAATTATGTCGACTTTCCCAACTCATTTTTATCACGTTGATGATGGCAAGTTTATAAATAAATAAAAAACTGTTGATTGTAATTTTATGAAAATACAAATCAATTCCGGTATTATATTAAATAATTAGACACATTGGTAATCTTCTATGTTGGACCCTGATCTCTTTGAGGAATTTGAAGAAAGAGAGGATATCTGGGGAAAAAACCACTTTAATGTTAATTAAAACGAGTTCAAATATATAAAAAAGTAATAAATGAATAATAATTTTATCTCATTTTATGTAATTATTTATATTGATCATAATAAATTTTGGTTTACCAATTGAATAATATGACTACTAATGACTAATTATTCCCTAATTTTATTTATTTTCTTCGCTAGTTATGTGACTATGATCATATGTTTGAAGGTTTGATAACATTGAGTATCTCAACACGTTCAGTTGTTAAGAGTGACAAGTTAATGTATAAGTGGTTTGTCTTGGTCTTCTCAGGGGATAAGAATATAAAGTTTTGTGTGGAGATGAAACTTAGCATGGTGGTGAATGATGTTACTAAATTATGTGACATTAACATATGATTATCTCAGCTACCAGAGTGGCCAAGGTTGAGGGTGGCAATGTGATGCGTGTTTTGTCTACGGTGTTGGAGTCATGTCTCAATGGCCAAAATGGCCAAACGAGGGACTAACATAACATGTGTCATTCAAGTTCTCTTTGGCATAATAATATTTGTGATTTATATCGTAAAAAAGAAAATCAAAATACTCACAACATATGATATAAGAATGTTAAAGTGGGTTAAACCTGATAAGTCCATCAACTTAAATCATAAAAACAAGTTAAGTAATTCAACTATTTAATTTGCATGACCTAACTTGCATAATCAGTTAACACAATGAGTCAAAAAGTGAGTTAATATATTATTAATATTTTTTATACGATTATATTATTTTTAAGATAACGTGTGTTTAAAATTTTATTAAAAACATTAAAGCATAATTTGGGAAATTTTATAAAAAATAAAAACTTTTACCGAAGTTCATATTTTAAAGTTTTTAAACAAAAACTGAAACATACATAAAGCATCTCAATAACACTTTTTTTTAGTGGCTAGATGTGTGCTATGTATGTAGTAGACATTTTTTTCACATGTGTTTTGATAACTCGCTAAATTATGAAATAAAAATATTCGCTAAACTTATTTCCAATTTCATAACCTTAACACTCCTACTGAATGTTTACTATTCGTGAGGAGAGATAAAAATAAATTGAATTGGGCTGGAATTTGAAAGCCTTGAATTTGTCTTAATTTTTGTATATAAAGTCAAAGTGTAGCCTATTTAATAAGACCTTTTTAATAGGAAAAATACTACTTTCGAATAAATCAATAAGCCTAAGCTTTTTTATGGAATGATATGTTTGAATCTCTAATTAGAACACGTATTCAATGTCAAAAACTCAACATTTTTTTCTTCTTCTTAATCTTGAGTAAATTTTATTTTTTTAATAAGATTTATTAAATGGGTAAAAATTTGTCTTTAAATAGGTCAAACTTATAGAGATCATCTGAGTCTTTAAAAAAATGAAAATTTGTCTTTCTATATATAAATTATAACAAATTTTTCTGAATGAAAGTATTTCCGGGGCTTATTGTTTTTAACTATTTTCATTGGCAAGTATGTTTTTAGATTTTTTTATAAAATTTTATATATCTTAATCTATCATTTTTTTACAATTAAATTTCAATATGTTTAATAATCATCAATAGTTAAAATAATCTAATAAAAGAATATTAGTATAATTGATAATTATTTATCATAAATATAAATATAATTTACACGATAAATTTATTTATTGTAAATTTTAATTGTAATATAATATATTAAAAATATTTATTTATTATAAAATTTGTATATAAAAATAAAAAATAAATTATGCACTTCACAAACTAAAACATTAGTTACATAATATCAAAATAATGCAACAAGATTGATACAACGACGGAAGCATTATAAGCATAAATAATAATATTGTTGTTTTTGTTGAATAGTTAACATGTGTATATATATAATACTAAAAAAAAAGTTATCGTGATGTTAAATAGTTATATATATATAT